AGAAATCAAGTTGTGTTTGTACCAAAATTTTGTTTTTAGTATAAATTCCGGAAGTGAACTGGAAAGAGTTTTTTTTTTTTTAATATAATTTTGTTTTTCTAAAAATTACGGAGGTAAACCGGAAAGAGTTTGTTTTTTTACAAAGAATTTTTTTATTGTAGTTTCTATAACAGAAACAGCACAAACAACCATCTTGCCAAATCAAGACCTTTCAAAGTAGCTGATGATAAAACACCACTTAGAATTTTGAGTTATAAAGTAAAAATTAAGAAAGTTGTCAAGAAACACCTGTAAAAAGATTTAACCCAAAACATTAAAAATAGAATTGAAAAAGTAGCTAGAAACCTCTCTTTTAAAGAGAAAATTCTGCTAGTGAATGCCTTATTCATCTTTAAAATTTGGTACCTAGCTTACCTTCTTTCACCAAAAAAGAAAGCAATTAAATAAGATTGACAACCTTATTTTACAATAAATTAAAGACAAGTCCAAGTTACTATTCAGATACTCAACATTTCAACTAGATTATAACAGGGGAGGGTTAGATACCCTAGTTCTTAAGGATATACTCGACTCTAGGCTAATCTCAGTTTGGGTTAGAGGACAACACATGGGCCAAGATCGAAAGAGCAATAATCTCTTAAAATCTTCAAAGTAAAAGGAATATTTCAGTAGTATCAGCCTTAACCAGGTTTCCAATCAAGCTCAAAGGATGGCTAAACAACAGGAAGCCATATTTAGTAGCCTGAAAAAGACTCAAAGAAACCATTACAGCTACAAATGAATGGCCATAAAATATTACTCAACTAGAGATTTATGAAGTAAGAAAAGCAGCAAACTATTTGAAACAGTATTCAATACAACTAATAGCTCAGGTATCTACAAATATTTAAGAAGGACTGTCAATTGACTTGACAAAAATTTTATTAATCGATAATTAATTGAAAAAAATTATTACTTGATTGATTAAACTTTGATTATATATCCTTGATTGAGTATAATCGATCAATTATAAAATTTATAAGCTTGAGTATATAAATATATTAATGATCGATCAATCATTGGATCAATTATTGATCGAGAATAAATAATTCTTTTATTGAGAATATCAGCGTACATCTGTGTAGTTGATGTACAAACTAAGACAGGACATGCTTCAAAAAATGGATGTTACAATCATTAGCCGAATTTGTAATATGTAATTATATGTATAATAATAGTTACCAGTTTTTCGCAATGAATTAAGCAGACCAACTTAAAATAAATTGTTAAAGATACTACAAAATATAGAATTTTGCCTGGAAATGGAAGGGTACAGATACAAATTTTGCTTCTTGACTATAGTTGGTGAGATTATATCTTTGGGTTGATTATAAGCTATTATTAGCAAGTATTTAATTACACCAAATTGAGCAATCGATTAAAATCATACTTATCTAAATGCATATGCTTTTTTATATAGTGCAACTTTATCTACATATCTAATTTTGTCAAATTAACCATCACTAGACGATTTTACTTATTTGCTTGAGTAATACAAACCAAAGAGGAAAATAAATATTTTAAATAAACTAGATGTGTAAAGATAGAAATTTAGAGTTAGAGCATTAATATAATAGATTGTTGCTCATTATATACAAAAGTTTGTTTCTAACATTTTTAATTAGTTTATTAAAATCGATTTAAACATTAGTTTGAGTATTTTTGCTTTTTCTTTTTTTGTGCGGTTATAGATTTTTCTAAAATCTAAAATAATTATGTTGACTAAAATTCTAATTGTAGTTAATTATGATCGAGCAATAATAAATCACAAAAAAGTAAAAATAAATTTTATTAATAAAAAAAATCAAATACAATCTTTAATTATAAAAGCTATAATATTCTCTATTTCTTTTAACAAAAAGAAGTTCATTAACTGTATCAGGCTTAAGCCTATTTCTTTCATTTGTTATTTGTTTACCTGCATCACTAAACAAACGTTCACAAGGAACGGATGTTGCAGGAATTCCTAAATATTTTTGAGCTATTTTAAAAAGAATTGAAAACTTATTTTTATTCTCTTTCCACCATTTAAATGGATCAATATTACTATTAGTTTGTGTTTGAGTTTTATCCAAATAATGATCAATTTTATTTTCAGGAATAATTTCATCCTTATTATCATCAAATAAACAAGATTTAAAATTGCAATTATAATTAAGTTTATCTTCAGGATAATTATTTCGACTATTATTAGAATTTTGATTACTTAAATATTTCTCATTTGTAAATAAATTATATTCTGACCTTAATAAAAAGATTGTCTTTTCTTTTTCATTTTCTGACCATCCTTTCATTTTCTTAAATCTAGGATCTAAGAGACTAGCGAGTATAGCTGGATTTGGCAGTGTATCAAAATATTTGAAAAGAGCATTATAAATTGTATTTTTAACAAATTTAATAGTTTTATCAATATTTGGTCTAGTAGGTTCATCTACTTCTTCACTATCAGTATCATCATCAAGATCGTCATCAGTTTCTTCTTCTATAGTTTCATCCTCAGTTTCTTTATCATCTGATGCTTATTTTTAATAAGTAATTAAAATAAACAAATATATAATATCTTTATTATCTTCTATAATATAATCATATTTTAATAATTGAATTGTAGGAAATATTAATGATAATGTATAATATTTTTGGCCACTAAGCCATTCTGTCGCTTCTTCAATTGGTTTAAAAAGGTCAATTAATTGGTCAAGAAATTCACATTCCCATAATTTTAAGAAATGTTTTTTTAATATTTCATGATCTTTTTTTGCCTCTCTATTAGTTTCTAAAGAAAGTTTAAAAATTACATGTTTTATAGAGTCTTTTAATTCTTTCAAATGTTTTCAAGAAGCTAAAGTAGACCCCCATCGAATATTGCATTCATTGATAGTTCTCAAGATTTTTAAAGATATATAAGCAGTTTCATTTGTAAGATCAAGTAATGTTTGATCATTTGGTAAAATTTGATTAGACGAAGTTTGACTAGTTTCTGAATTATCCAAGTTGTGATTATCATCAATACTTTCATATCTATTTATTAATTGACGCTGTGCTTCTTCTAACCTTTCATTTTGCTTAGATGAATTGAAAAAATTATTCAAACTTTTAAATCTTTTTATATAAAGATGAATTTTTTGTAAAGCTTTAACTACACATAATTGAAGACTATGTGCTGAACATGGTATGCGTTCAGTACCCTCCCACTCATGAATTGCTTTTACTACATTAGAACCATTGTCCGAAACTACAATTTTAACTTTATCATTCAAATCTAATAATGTAAGTTTGGAAATAATAGTAGTATGAATATTATTACCTGTATGAGGATATTTAATAGACTCAATGCAAACAAGAATATCATATAACTCTATTTTATCATTTAACTAATGACATGTTATTCCAATATATCCCTCTTTGGCACGCGATGTCCAGAGATCTACTGTTATAGCTGCAGTATTACATAAATTATTGATTAATTCTTTATTGCCTGAAATGTTGCTTGATAACCCATGCCTAAAGATTTTTTAATAGTTCTATAACATGGCAAGCGAAATGCTGAATCAAATTTCTTTATCATATTTTGAAACTCTAACCCATTTACTGCATTGAAAGGTTGAGAATCTATTATTATCCAATTTGTAATGGCATATAACAACTCATTTTGTTTCGATTCTTTGTGTGGTGTTAACTTTTTAGTTGACTTTCGATTGTTAACTGTTTCTAACAAAATTTAAAAAATTTTGTTAAAAATATTAAAAGCATTTTATTTAATTTATTAACATATAGATTTTATTTACCAATTTCTCCTCATATTTTTTATGAATACTATTCAAGTGATAGCTCATACTACTTGTTTGAGAATTATATACACAATTCTATCTGCATTCCTCATCTTCATTGTTATCCTTATGTCTGCAATAAGCACGACCATCAGTCTTTACTCCACAATACTTCCAAACCCAACTAGCTTTATTGTGTCCAAGATCAACCCATTGAGGTTCTTCAAAATTTGAGTCAAAATTGTCATTATTGTTTTTTTTATTTGATTGAGAAAGAGTTGTTTGCTTATTACGCTTTTTTAAATTTGACATGTTGAAAGGTATTGGAAAAAAAAATATGTATTAGTATACTGTATTTATATATGTATACCCTTATATATAATTCTATGATTTTTATATTACTATTGTAATGAAGTAATATTGTGATTTTTGGAAGTATGATTAAGAACCACAATAGTATCGTAATTGTCAAGGTCTATAGTATGAAATCAACATACTAATACAAAACTAACGTAATATAGAGTATGCTTTCTCTTATATAAAAAGCGATGCCTTTATTTGATAAAAGAGAGAACCTGTTTCATAATAAAGTAGTATGTCTATAATGTTTTTTCCCATTAAACCTTATCATCATTATCTCGCCTTTATGCTTATTAAAAACCCAGTAGTATTTAATAGCAGCTAGAGATACACAGCATATTTATTTTATATCGCATTTCTAATCGACATATACTGAAAACAATCCATTTAGATCTAGAAATGCAATGATCAAACTTAATTAGTTACACAAATAATCGAATGTGAATGAGCAGATAAGCATAATTTAATTAACTGCTCAACTTGGTATAATAATACAACTACTAACAATAGTAGTCTTATTATTAGAATCAGCAATTATGTACAAGCAACCAACACTTACTATCCACAAAAAGCAAGTTTTAAGTGATCATATTACTCAAACAGTTATAATAATATTATATATTTATGTTAGGCTTATTCTTACGCAAAGCATTTTTATAGAGAATTTTTTCTTAATGTATTGTTTTTTTTCCTGATCAAAAGACTTATTGTTGCAGCTCTCAACGAGCGTACCATTGGAAAACAAAATAACACACTACTGATTTAAAGATAAGAATTTTGACATCGAAAGCAAAAAGGTAAATCCTTTATTTTCTTACATTTCTTATATATACATAGAATCTGACTCTAAATTAATTACATCATAATTTTGTCTTATACGATATTTGACTTTTATCTCAATTACATCATAATTATCGCATAATTATATCATAAATGGTATTTGACTATTTTAATTATATATTTCTTATACACCTTAACTGAATTACATAATTGTGATGATCGACGATCTCTCTCTCCTGACCACCTGCGTTTAGGGTTGAGAGTAATTTAGGAAAAACAAAATTAATCTAGT